GTGACCTGCGGCGGCGGCGGCGGCGGCGGCGGCAGTCGCGGCGAGGAGGGCGCTTCCTTCAGGAAGGGGTGGGATCTGCCCGCCTGCCGCGCCGCGCCCGCCCCCGACTTATTCTGGGGTCCCCGCTGCCGGGCCTCCGGGGGGAGACTGGCCCCCCTCCCCGCACCCCATCCCTGGGCCTCGGGCGTCCCCCACCCCTCGGGGCCCCGCGTAGTTACCGGGGGCTGGAGCCGAGTGGGGACGGTGGAACCGCTTCTCTCCAAAGCCTTTGTGGACGCCTTTGCCTGGCGCTCCTCACCCAACAAAAGGAAGGACCGAGTCTGGGATCCTCCGCCTGGTAGTTGTTTATTCCTGACTCGATGTAACCTTCTGGCTGGCTCCCTTCTGTCCACACACCTAGGGGTTTTGCACATAGCAGCTAAGATTCATTTTCGTGCCCACTGGCCGAATGCAGTTGTCCGCCGCTGAGCGCTCTCCCGCGGTTTTCCTTCATCGTGGAGAACAAACGCAGGGCCAACTTCTGACCCTGGCAATGAGCAGCGTCCTCCCAGCGCCAGTTCGCTCTCTTCCTCCCAGCGTCTCGTCTCAGTCTGTTATAAAACTGTATTCATCGGCATTTTGATAGCTTTCCCCACCCCAAACCTCAGCCTACCGGTGACACCATGTCAGTGACCTCTAGCAGCAGCGGGGATCAACGCTGTTTTTATCCCACGCTCACCGTTAACTTCTCTTCCAAACGCGGCCCCACGGGGCTCCCACGTGAGGACCTCCTTTATCAAGCTGCCTTAGGTTGACCTCCCATTCTTTTAGAGGGACTCCGTACCGCCTGCCTCGTCTAATCTGCTGCCTCTCAAAGCACCTGGTTCAAATTCTCTGCCTCAACATTCCAGAACTCTCCCTTCCCCCACAATATAGTATTCCCCCATAATACACTATTACGTGTATATTGACTTGTTACTGCTTTTTCCTGGCTACTAGACTGTGAGCTTCTTCAGATCTGGGATCTGCCCTCTTCTGTTTCCCTTCCCTTAAGGAATGGGACTATTAAACATCTGGTTAAAACAGCAGAAATAGAAACTTGAATCCAAACCCCCGGCGGAATTTTGTGGGGTTAGCCTCTGAAGATTTTTCTAAGGAGAGTGACTGCAGCTTTCATCAGACTCTCAGTGATCTGTGAGTCCCTCAGAGATAAGAATTGCTTGAGGCCAGTCCATGAATTAACCCCAGCTCTGATGTGAGGACAACCCCCTCCCCCACGTCCATCCTTTCAATGCCATTCATTTCTCTTGCCATGACTGAAGTTACCCTCTAGCTACACTTGCTTCCAATCCATTCTTTTAAAACTTCTGGATCCATCCAAATAATTAGTGGTCTCTCAAAACTCTGCATATCTGAATCACCAATGGGAGCTTTAAAAAATACAAATGCTTGGGTCTACCGCAGGCCCCCTAAGTCAGAACCTGAGGATGGGGAGTGGTGAGGGGAGAGGAGGGACCTGGACATGGGTATTTTTACAAAGAACCACAGGTGATTCTGACAAACCCATGACTGAGTCACTTCCTTTCTTGGGAAAAGCGTTCTCTATTTGTAATATGTCCTTACTTTTCCTTTCCTTTATGGAAAGTTCGAGAACCCTTGTACTGTGATTAATTTATTTGAGCATTTTCATTTTCACTTAGAGCCAGGTCCACTTTTTTCTTAAGAAATAAACTTGTTGGTAGGCCCAGTGCCATTTGTCAGCAGAACTAAATCATTGCCACCTTCATCTCTAAAATGTCCATTCAAATCAACTCAAAGAGTAAAATAAATTACATTCCGACAGTGATATTGACAGCTGAAATAACGTGTTAAAATGCTGGCCATGAAGGAGAGTTGGCTGCTATAAGCAGATTCCATTAATGTCATGAGAGTTCTAGTGAAGACAAACAAAACGTAAGTTTATCCACACTTTGAAATTTCTTTTGTTGGTCTTGGTATCCCACCCATTAAAATTCATTCACCATGTGCAATACAATTTTAGGCATATTAAATCATTTATGGGTGTAAGAGCAAAATACATGTATATAGAGGTCCATCCTGTATTCTAAAATGATCTGTTGACAGTGTTCCAAAATGCTTTAGGCTTTGAGGAAAGTGCCAAGTACAGGACAAACAGGGTTTAAGGTCTGGAAATAGAGCCGAGCCACAAACTTTGTGGGTAGGATGGCGATCAGTACACAGGACAGAATCATTCCTCAGGACCACAATGAGACACTATGGTGCTCTACCAAGTCCACTGCCCCAACTCACAGCACAGGCATCCATCCATCTGAGCAGGGGTGGTGGCTTTTCTGATATAAGTGGCCTTGTTATCTAACTGAAATCGCTAGAGAATATTTAGAATTACAAAGAAATTCTGTATTCTCTTATTTCCTTTCTCTTGGGGTAGCCAATTTGTTATTGTTTAAGATTCAAATCACTTCCCTTATTGGCAAAACAGACTTGAGAAGCACAACTCATAAATAACACTCCCAGGATTCTGAGAATCCCTGCTGCTGGTCAAATTGCAGTGACTCTCATTACAATAATAATCTCTGTATAACAAAATCATCGCCAGCCCTTATCCAACCCCCGGTAATTCAGGTAATCTTTGGTAAACAACAAAACCATACAAAGTTCATGGAGATGGCATTCGATCTTTATCAACATCTACCTATCAAAGAAAACCTCATAGGGTATTTGGAAAGTAGACAAGAATACATTAGGTAATGGGATGTCAACTGGCAGTTAACATTTTGTTTCCATCTTGACAGAGGCCCCAGATAATAGTCACCAACCACTCTCACATTCCAAATAATGTGCAGGACCACCAAGTAGGACTTGCAAAGCAGTGCTCCCTTAACCTCTCACTTACCTTGAAGAGTATAAAAGAGTTGAGGTGGAGGCTGCCAAGGCTGCTGTGGATTAAGAAGGGTTTCTATGGAAGGAGTTGCAGGTTTTCTTCTAAGAAGTCCCTTCTATACAACCCACTCCCCACAGGAGGAGGGCAAAGGGGGCTCTTCCCTCACTTTGAGTCTGATGAGAGGGACTTCAGGCCAGTCTCTTGGAGAGCTTGGGATATGTCCCCTGCAGTTTGGGGAATGCCATGGACTGGTTTTTGGCTCATGCCTGAGAAATCTAAAGGGCCAGAGTTGGCAAAAGTGGCCTGAACGCAGGGTAGGGATTCTGGTGGGGGAAGTAATTTACTCCCACAGAAGGCAAGTCTAAGATAGTGAGACAAACAGTGTGGGCTTGACTTTGATCTAACCGAGAGGACTGCTTAGAAGGGCGAAGAGACCTCAGCAGAAAGAAGCCAGAGACTTGCCTCCGGATGCTCAGGGCCGCAGGGTGGGGGAGAGAATCTAAGGCAACCAGTCAGAGGCAAAATGAACGTGCCTGTGCCAAGGAAGCGGGCGGTGAGAGATTCCACAGCAGAGTGGTGGTAATGAGGGTGATTCTGACAAACCCGTAAAAGCACCGATGAGAAGAAGTGCCATCTTCACGGCAGAGGAAGCCATGCCAGCTAGAGCCAGCTTTCTGCCCCTTAGTCTCTCTCCCCCATCTTAGTCCCAGAGGAGACGAACAGCCTCCTGCGTGTACCAGGAGGGGAGAAGCACTGGGCTGGAAGAAACACAGAGAGCCTACCATCACTCCCCTTTGCCACTGAAGTGTGGGGTTTTCGATGATTACACTATATCAAACATATTAATTACTGATATAAGAATATATTTTTGACTGCAAGGAACCAGAGGCATTTTTATTATCTCAGAGTGACCCCAAAAGTCATAGCACCTACACATCACTTTACCCAAGGGGCAGGAAAACAGCCATGCGGGTCTGAACAGGCATGACAGAAGGGCAGAAAGCTGCTTTCTGATTACACCACGAGTCCTGCTGGGTCAATAGATCAGCTATATATTCAAATGTAATGTGCTCCATATTGTACCTTAAAACCTCTGGGGATGTCTCATGCTAACCTCGTACCTGAACTACAAACAAATTCTACGTGTCAGGAAACCCTGTTCGTGAGTAATAAATTATAACGTAAGATTTCCAACAAGAAGGAAGTAAGGATACTGGATTAAAAGATCCAAATGGATCTAAATCTTGGTTTAACCTTTTCTTACATAGCTGGTTGCCATGGTTTCCTCATCTAGGGGGCTGGGATTAGATAAAGGGTCTCCTGCAGGCAGAAAAGTTTGGGTTTTAAAATGTCTACAGCCACATCCAGCATGCCCTAGATCAGCATGCCCAATTATTTCTTCGGGGTCTGCTCCACCAGACCAGCAGCCCTCAGACCAGCATAGCTGGTATTAAAGTAGGGCAGTACTTTGGAGGGATGAAGGAGAAATGCTTCTGAAACGCAGACGGACGACTGCCGGGGTGTTTTCCTTTGTGGCCAACGTGTGGCTGAGGTTGATACAATTACCTTGGTGACGGTTTCTACATGATGTACTTGGCAATTGTGATCTGAGAATCCCCAAGCACTTTCCTGTATCCTCTCGAGTGCTAGCTATGATCATCCCGCTCTCCTCTTCCAGTGGGAAAACAGTTGCAACGAGGTCTGTGGCTGGTGCTCTGAGGGAGAACCTCAATTAAACATTCCACGTTCTGAAGTTCACTGTATCCCCATTTTCCTCACGTGAACTATGAGACTGTCGTTTGCTACAAGAGAACAAACCAAAAGAGTGTGAACAGTTCTGATGTCAATCCCTTCTCGTTCGACCTTTTGTCAACGTGCATTGAGTTATGGAAGGCATCCGTTATTTATTTGATAAAAACAAAGACAAAAAACAATCAGAGAGCTAAAGATGAATCATTTTATGGTATGATATTGTTTTTGTCACAAATGACTGCTTTTGAGGGATTTTTGAAGATGATTCTTATTCAGCCTTTTAAAGTTCTAGCTAGGAAATGTTGCTTCAGCCCTCGAGTTATGTTGTCCCACTCCGCTGTCTGCCCTAGCCTCTTCCCTGAGAGGTCGCCTTGACCAGCAACTAAAAAGTCAACAGGGATGGAGGAGAGGGCATCCTGGTTGGGTGCACAGCCAGTGTCTGAAGGCTGAGGCCCACTCTGCACTGATTGCTAAATATTTCAAATATCACCCCTGGATGGAGGCTCAACTTCTCTCCACCAAAAAAAAAAATCTTTCTATCTTTCTATAATTCTTCCCCTGTCCGAAGATGAAGTTCCTCACTTTATTTCCATGCGTAACTCCACCTGTTGTTATTCTTTATCCTGTCCACTCCCAAGACTCCCTCCCTGTCAACTGGCTCTTCCCCTTAGCCTATAAATGTGGGCATATTTCCTCCACTCTAAAAACAGCTTCCCAAGATCCTGCTTTCTCAGTCAAGCTCCTATTTCATTCCTTCCCTTCCCATTGACGAGAAATTTCCCCAAAGCATAGTTTTCATATACTACTTCTTCCTTAGTCGGGTCTTGATTTACTCTCAGCCCTCAGCCATCTGGATCCCACACCCACTCTGTTGAAAATGCAC